ATATCCTTTCAATTTCGGTTTACGCCTATAGACCTTAAATATACTGATATATACCGCGAACGGAAATTAATTTCTCAGGAGCGCAAAAAGCTGAACATTTGAAGATGATTTTTTGCCAAAAATCAGCAAATATATGTGCACTCATTCATTTCTAAATTATACATGAACAGTATAATGCATTCGCCAGCTGGCTTACTTTCTTATGGACTCGATGAAGTTAAATGCGTCTCTTAGGCCAAGCGATGCTATTTCGTATCGAATCAGTTTCAGCCTTTCTTCCAGCGACCTTGTAATTGCATGGTAGGTGGACTTGCACTTGTCTAATCTCTGGTTTTGAATCCTAGGTAAGCCATATAGCTTTGGAGGGTTTGTGCTAATGGGTTTAAGTGCTTCAAATGATTGATCTCTGAACATCGTCAACTGTCTCTCCCAAGTTTATATTTGATGTTTAAATATTTATCATAAAAAGCGAGTTGCAAAAGAGAAATACCTTTATATCTCCGACCGGCTTGCCGTTGGGAAATCCTTTCTTACAATCTCGTACCATAAAACTCTTTGGTTTCTATGACGGGAATATTAGTGAACAAGGACGAGACATCTAAGGACAACATTGTTTTCCCATTAAAATTTGCATTGCTTATGGACTTGACATGCTAATCTCAATGGGAAAACGATCCTGTCCTTACAGGTTTGTCCCACTAAGTCAGAAACGAAGTCTAGCCCGTTGTCTCAGTAACCTAACTAAGAAGATACGTTATCCAGATACACTTGAGAATGAACACGCCCTTATCCTGGCTGAACATTTTGAATAAACCTTTTTGGCATTGAACTTTCAGTTTGAATTGTTTTTGTCATATGCTCTCTGCTCAAAAGTTTTGTCGGCATCCGTGCCGGAACATGGTTTTCCCGTAATTGCATCCGCGTCTTCCTTTTCTGAACTGCTTCCTGCATCTCGCGTGTTTGCTTCTATCAGAAACGAATGATTAATGCGAACCATAAACTTGGGCTGTCCACAGCCTTATTTTATGTGCAGATGCAGTAATGCGGGTTCTATCCAAAGCATAATTGACTAAGAACATTTTCAAGCTTTCAGTTCCCTTAGAAATTAATTTTTGTTCTCGGTATGGATTAGTATATTCAAGTTCTTTATATGCATAGACAGAAATGTCATGTATATATTTGGGCCGAACATCATCAACCACTGCGGGTAGTATATATGGATATTTTTAGTTACCATAGCAGCATCACAGGTACTAGCTAAAACCTCAAACACGTGTTTCGCCCGTATTCTGCCGCTGCCGGACACAGCTGCAAGGTGTCCGACCCATCAGTTGGTCGCCCGGCTTTCCCTGTTTGCTTTCTGGCCTTTTAGATAGTACCTACGTTGCTGGCATGGTAACTTACAACATTAGCAACATTTGATTTTATATTTACTGTAAGATAAATAAAAAGAAAAAGCAGGAGCCATTATTTTTCTGTTTTCATACTTTGCTAACAAGTAGTGGTTTAAATAAGAAATGTGGGTTTTTTCAAGAATACACTTAAACGAGCCATTCTTCTTTCATCAAGGTTGAAAGCGGAGATGGAAAATGTGAAAGCGCCGGTGCAAGAAGCTGATGCTCTTTTCCGTAGTGTCATCTACAACGCTCGGGATACTGAAAGGGAATCAGTGGAGGCGTTTTCGCGATTGA